CACATCTTCAGCTTTTGGTTTTATTTCTCATCAAACACAAAACAACATTATGCAAACAGTGTTACATCATATCTGCAGGAGTTCAAATTTTTCAGGAATTTTAATTTTAATGTAAATTTAATGTTCCGAAGATGCACAAATCCCTTCATTTGATTGGGATGTTCTCTTTTATTCTGGACGGCAAGGGCAGTGACTGTAACATTGAGCGTATTTTGCAGTATTAAACACGTATTTATACCGATTTCATCAGGCTCCGAAAATTCTTCAAAAAGAACACAAAGAATGGCCTTCTCGGCTGCCATAGTTGCAACTCTTGCGTCATCAGAACAGGGTGTTCAACGCACCACTATTTCCGTTTAAAAACGTTTTGCACCGTTTTGTCGGGGCTGAACGCAGCCCTGGATTGTTCCACAGCAATGCAGTGTTGATGGTGTCCATGGATATTTGAGAGCTCTATAGGGGAGTTCCAGCCTGTGCTGTGTCAGACCGTATAGCATTCAGGCATACCTGAGTTTCAAAACACCAGAATCACATTATTGGTGCATGTGTGTATTGGTATAATCTTTACACAACTGGTATTTTTGTAAATAATTCAATGTGTTTTATTTGACTCTCATTAAATATTTATTGAACTGTATTTATGTGTAAATTTCCCTCACAGAATGTAAACAAACACAGTACATAATTGAGATGTGGTGAAAATGACAATGTTTTAAAAATGTTAACTATATCTCAGAGAGTAGGGTACAAAGCCCTGCAACCAGATACAACACTAGTCAGCAACCAGCCACATATCTAAAGGACCTGTAAAACATTCAAAAATCAAGTTTTTAACAACGGTTTAAACTTTTAGGCCAGGCTTTGGAAGACCGATTTTTAACTTACATACAGCGTTATAAAAACATTGCACTACAATGAAAACTGTGCGATATAGACTATAACCAGAGTAATCTTTACTTTGTTTGTTTAGTGGCGGAATTCTGGTTCAGTGGCAGCTAGGGCTTATAGAAAAGATTTAGGAGGAGAAAAAAAACGAGAAAAACACAGACTGCGGGGTAATGAATCTCGCGTAATCATTAAACGGAGCAGGTGTTTAGCCTTTAAATTGCGCAATAATTTACTTAACGTGCGGGTGATTAAAACTGCATTGCGCGGTATATAAAAGCATTTCATACGTCTTTCCAGCACGTGCATACTAGAATGGCGTATGGGAAAATACGGGAGCGTCTGATCCTTATACTAAGTTCTTTCACATGCATTACTTTAGTGCAGTGCAGTCATGTGCTACAATTGTCTGAAAATGAAAAAGCAAATGATGGTGGTAAATTTATATCAGAACAACATATGTTTGACCACGACCGATATGAGGCTTTACCTGATTTTGAGTACCTAGGTGATTACGCCATTGTCTCAGGTAATGAGTGCTTGGTTTAATTTCGGTGTAGTTATATTTTTTGTCAAGTCTAATACATGGGCATCGACAATTAAAGGGCAAGTCAGTTCTTCTGAAGCAGCCTGGTATGCCATGTCTCCAAGTTTGAGGTGTGGTGATGATCTTATGAAGTTGCAGCTCAGTGGTCCTGAAGTAGCACAAGTTGAGCTTTGTCGAGGTAAGCCGTCAATTCATTGTTGATTGAATTTGAACACATAGTATCTTAGTTTGTTGTACTAGTCCTTTTTATGACCCTACCTAGACCTTACATGCATCAATGTAGTAAGTGACTCCCCCCCCCGAAATGTGTGGTTGGGTTTTTTTTTATTTTTTATTTGTCACAGGTAATGGGGCACCTGTTCCCCTCAATGAGTTGCCACTTCACTGTGGACACACCATACCAACTTATGGAGGTCTTATCTATGCTACCCCCTATGATGGATGTGGTGTTGCACAACAGGTATTGCTTTCTCTGTTCCACACTGGGAAAAATTATTCATTGAAGTTACAAAAAAATGAAGGTGAGTGGTTGCAATCAATTTATTTTAAATACATTTAAATAAACAAATTTTAGTTGATCAGTGTGTGTGTGTGTGTGTGTGTGTGTGTTTTTTTTTATTTTTTATTTTTTATTTATTTAGATTTAATGGAAATTGTTTGCAACTACATACCTTTTAAAAAAAAAAAAACAGATTTCAGTGCATTTATTATGAGCACAGAGTAAGGAAGACCAACCTGAATGTTGATGTTTTCTTTCAGGGCGGGAGTTATGTAATGCAGATGCAATGGCAGGGAAACGGTGCAGTCATTTCTTGTCCTATGACCTCTACAACTGCAAACGAAACCTTCCTAGGACCTCTTTCTTCATATCAGCAGATTCTGCTGCCTCCCCTTTATCCTGATAAATTTACTCTAACTATGCCAGAATTATCTGCAACACTCAAACCTCTACCTTATGGGTACCCTCAAGTGTTTCCACAAGAGTTTTGGCCTTACTACTACCCTCGTTACCATTATCCTGGCAAGGGTTATCCCACAGCTGAGCCGACGGAGGAACTTTCTAATGATGTGGCCATATTCCCATTATCCTGGCAAGGGTTATCCCACAGCTGAGCCAGCGGAGGAGTCTTCTACAGATGTCCAAGCACCAAACCAGAAGCCTCAATTTCCAAAGCACCCCCATATGATGTGGCCATATTACTACCCCGATTATCATGGCAAACCAACTCCCACTTTGAAACCAGCTCCAGCCATCCCCACTTCTCCCCCACCAGATTCGCCCGCAATAACCCAGAAACCGCAACCCCCAGTGTACCCTGGAAGTCTATTCCCTCAGCATAGCCATTACCCTCTTTATTTGCAACAGTTTTATCCACAATACCCAGTGCAGCCTCCGAAAACCCCTACTGCATCACCTATAACCACCACTCCTCAACCCTGTACTACAACTGCAGCTGCTGAATGCAAACCTTCTGCCAACCAGCCTCCCAAAGAGCCACCCCAATACTATACACCACCCAGTTATAGGAGTTATGAAAAAGACCCCTTCGCGCTTAAATTTGTGTATTTTTCCGAATTGGATCCCAAGTCTTTCCCATGAAATTGAGGACTGAGGACAGCTATTTAGAATTAGGTTGGTAATGTGCTGCATGTGGCTTTGAGAAAGATTGCCTCCTGATTTAATGCTAATATGTTGTGTATGGGGTGACTGCAAAGTGACTCCTGCTTATTCATTGTCCTTTGTTCTCACAAACGATTCAATAAATCAAATATGGTCAAATGTCTTTTTTTTTTTTTCCTTTTAAAGTATTTGATTTAGGACATTATGTATTTGAACTGTAAGGTGCCTGCTACTGGAGGAAAAAAAAACGGTGTGGTGTGTTGCAAGTTTTGAATATTTAGTGTGACATTGCTGCCGAAACTTTATTTATTTTTTTTTGTGTCTGGATGGCTGTTTTTGTTTAGCATTAACTGCTAGGCTAGTGGCAACATCTCATCTACTAATGAAAGTGATCAAATCTAGCTGTTAACGTTTTTAAGAATGTATTGTAAACCTGGTTTACAGATTGTTAATATTGCATCACAAGCGGCATTATTGTTTCTCATTTGCCTCTGTAGTTTTTGAGTGCATCATGAATCAGCCTCACCTCTACCCTGTGTATCCTTTTATCGAAATGTTAATATCAGTGGAACTGGCCTGCAATCAGCCTGAAGATGGAATGTGGGCAGAAGGGTAGAGAAAAATAAGTATGTCTATTGATATAGGAAGGGAAAGTTATTGACTGTCACCATAGTAATCCTTATGATTGTACTGGAGTTGAGTGCAAGGCATTTTTTTTTTTTTAATGTTAGTCATTCTGAGCACCGGAAAGCAACTGTGTTGCCATGGCAATAAATTGAGCGTAGTATGAAGATCTGAGAGAACATTTTATTCTTGCCAATATAGCGTCATCCCATCAGGAATGGTTGCACAGTTATGTATTTACCCATCTAACAGAGAACGTTCTCAGAACTTTGACCAACATTCCGGCAAAGATATCTTAGATTTACAAATGTCCTGCCTATAACATTAATATAACGTTTGTTCAAAGTTATCTGGTTTTAATAATGTTTTTAAAACATTAAGACAAAAACATTTTTCAGAGATGTTTTTGTTGGATGTTCTTGTAACATTTAAAAAAAAATATTACAACTTGATTCAAAATGTTCAGGGAACATATCAAAAGTAAAATTCCCATAATGTTTCCAAAATGATAACAAGAGTGTTTGCACAATTCACATAACCAAGAAAAAAAAAACATTTAAAAAACAGTTTTGAACACTCAGAGAACATTAAGACATATTATTTTCATGACTTAATCTGTAATTTGCCGTTCATTGAGGCAGCAGTGATTTTGACATAAACACAAAATTAGAATTTATAATATGCATTCCTATCCACACTCCCAGCATCAGCTTCTCTCTTTTTTCCACACCAATACCTTCATGCTCTTGAAATCCAGCGCGTTATTTAAACTGTCATGAGCATTCAGTAGCCACTGTAGGTTGCTGTATGAAAGTGGATGCCATCTATTTTAAAATGCCACATCAAATATTCCTGGTTGCGAGGTATTCTGTGGCCTACTACATGTTCTGAGACTGTGTCTGTGAGCGTTCTCTTCATTTATTGAAGTCGACTGTGTTTTCGTTAGGCCCAGAGGAATGAGAGGGAGTCCATTAGCCGGTGACCTTTACTGGCTGCTGCTAAAACTTCCTGTTAAATTGTAATAATATTTCACAATATTACTGTTTTTATGGTATTTTTTTTTATTAAATAAATGCGGTCTTTGAACATTAAAGACTTCTTTCAGCAACATTAAAAATCGCATTTATTCCAAACTTTTGATAATGTAGTTATCAAAAAAAAAAAGTAAAACATGTTATAAGGTTCAGCAGATAATATTTTTGGTGTTGTCCCATTTGCCACTATAGATGACGAAGCACCATTTGTCCAGTGCGTTTCACCATGAGGCACTTCAATCTTTGTGGGCTGGGCTTGTAATCATCTCACTGCATATCAAATGTATAATTTGTTCTCAGCATATAATTCATGGAAACTTGAGCAGTCAACCCCATTTCGCACTTAACATCTGAGTGTACTTTGTTTCCACTGTTTGTTCAAACAAATGTTTGACAGACAAAAAAGGGGGAAAAAAATCTTACTTTGTGGCTATTTTAGTCTGCTGTGCTTATTGTTTAATGTTTGGAACCCTTTGAGAAGGACAATTTTATATACGTGTGTGTGTGTGTGTGTGTATATATTCTGTCAATATGGGGTGCTGTGTGTACATTAATGAGGAAAAAAAAATAACTTAAATGATTTTAGCAAATGGCTGCAATATAACAAAGAGTGAAAAATTTAAGGGGGTCTGAATACTTTCCGTACCCACTGTATATATATATATATGTATAATTTATTCTTATTATCTTTATTTATTTATTTATTCATTCATTTATTCATTCATTTATTTACTGTGTACTTATTTGCAAAAAGTGCTGGGAATGCTATTGTTTTTATCAGGATTATTTTTATTAATCTTTGTTCTACTATTAATCTGAATGTAAAGAACACCGTAAATGGGAGAATATGACGTTTAAACAGAGAGTCTGAAATGTTGACTCAGGGAATGAAAAGCAAATACATGACAAATAAATATGCCTGGTATAGTGCTAATTTTGTTTCTTTATTTAATCTGTACTATACATGTATGTGCATAGTTACTGAATGTAGAGTACAATTATTATTTTTAGTGCTTTCTCTTAATAAAGACAGAAACCTCTTACCATTGATCACTTACTTCATATTATGACATTTTATTGCATCACAAATCCATGGACTGGCCTGTGAGAGTTGCTGTTTTCTGTGTCTTTTCTTGTATTGCATCTGCGTTTCAACAAGGTTCCTAGAAAGCCAAGCAAAGGAAAGTCCAATGAGCATTAAAATCTAAGAGCATACAGTATTTCCCCGCACTCCACTCCACAGCGTATATTTCACAGAATATAAACAAGAGATACCACAGAATCAGTCTCATACCAATCTACAGGAGTACACTCTGCCAGGGAAGACTTCATTTCTAGACTTCAATTGAAGCCTATAGCCAATGTGTTCTTCGAATATCAATAACCACAAAATTCTATTGCAACTGAAGAGAAAAGTTTAATGCACAGCTTTCTGTGGGAAGTGTGTATCACTGCGGTTCACAGACACTAAAATAGAACTTTCACTCTTTCTTTCTCTTTTCAGTAAATTCTATCTGAAGTTCTTATTTTAGAGTTATACTTCACAGTTTACTACAAAAAAAGAAGTTGGTTCTTTTTCTCAAATAACACTGATAGATTACTAATCAAAATGCATTCTAAAGAGTATAATTTAAGGGTCTTGTTGTGTATTCCACCCCACTGCAAAATACAATATCCATTTAGCAAATTACACAATATTAAAAATGACAGTGTGATCGTGTAAAATAGCAGTAAGCTGCATTGTTGCGCATCAGTCATGTAAATGAAATTTTCAAAATTAATATTTATGTCTCTCACATTGCATTTTTTTCTGCCAAACCTTTCTTTATCTAGATTTCTTTTTATTTATGCAACAACAAAGTCAGACTATACAAAATCTTGAATATACAATGAAAAGCATCGAAATAAAAGGTCAACAACCAATGGCACATGAGTTATGTAAATGAAATCTTTAAAATGTATATTTATCTCTCCCATATTGCATGTATATGTATTTGCATGAATGTATTTTCTTTTCTGCCAAACATTTTTTTTTATTTATTTTTTTATTTATGCTTATTTCAGACTGCAAATCTTGAATATACAATGAACAGCACTGAAATAAAAAGGTCAACAACAAACTGTTAATAAAAAAGATCTAACATTAAATAAAATCTGAAATTAAACAAATAAATAAATAATCAATCCTTCATCTTTTCTCACTGCACTGTCACTATAGGCTTTAGAATGGGGTGAATCTACAGATGTGCTTTGTGAATGACAGCAGCAGTGACAGGGACAGTGGTCCGTGTATAATCCGTGTATCATTCGATCATTCGTTTTTTGATTTAATATTGAAAGTAGAAAAATGAGAAAACGGCTCCTTTTTCGTTTTTTATTTTCCAAAAATTGAAAAAAGAGAATTTAGCTTAAATTTTCTTTTTTCGCTCAGGGGTAGAAAAATGAATAAACAGCTTGAATATTTGATTTCTACACGTGGGCGGGAATTAAACGCCCCTTTCTGTTGATTGGTCAGCCGAAGATCAAACCGTGCAGTCATCAGTTCTTCCGCAGTATCATGCAGCAGAATAATAGTCCTCCACTGCTGCAGTTGTATGGATTAATAACCCATTTGATCAATTTCATATTTTTCTCATCAAACAGACTAATGAATAGCTCGACACAACTCGTAC